GTAGACTAACACATGGTATAATGTAGTACTCTACGACATAGCACGATATAACATACTGGGTTCTACCGGCATGCAACGAAACTACATGGATTGGGCAATCAAGCAAATACGGTACAGCACGATACACTACATTATGAACTGTTAACCGTTGTCATATCATGTAGACTAAGACAGTTTGATCCACTATAATACAGTATACATAACGTCACATCATATAACATAGAACAACATAACACAGCGTAAATTTTTGATATGAATTATGATCAGAATTCTCCTCAAGTCCCTTTTTCCAGTATACTACAAACTCGGAACCCCATTCCACTCAGCAGAGGCCCCTTCACCCCTACATTACCGCAACACAAGCCCAAACAATCCTATAACGCCCCCGTGAACCCCCTAAACGCCAAATAGGACCCTGTGAACTATTCTAATTATCTCTACACTGCTTTTGATTGTGGGTGATCCGAGATCTCGCGGCCCACGGCGCACGATATGCTTCAGGCCATTGCTCGACTGTCTTTGAGGTTTTGGGTTTGGGGATGTGGGTTTAGGATTTAGGATATCCTGCAAGTCCGTACTTACAAAAAGGGGTTTGGGGGCTCAAAGTTTGGGCGACCCTAATTTGGGCAAAGAGGCTTTGCGTCTAGTGCTGTGCTGGGAAGGGAGAGCACTGTGCAGGAGTCAGGATGGGAAGCTGAGCCCTACAACCTTATGTTCGTCCGTCCAAGGCGGAGGCGAACAAACACAACTCCACCCCGACTGCCGCAACGGCCTCTAAACCTCCAATGAAGCTCATATGGGGCGCCAGAGAGGCATGAAACCCTCGAGCCAGAATTACCCCGCAAGGTGGAGAGCTGGGATGTGCAAAGCCTGCCCGGCGAAGCTTCGATTCTTTGCCGCAGACTCCAGGTGTCTTGAAGTGGTTCTACAATCTTTCTTCATGGGCTGGGGGGGTTCTGCAACGGAGGGATTGGAATAGTAATGATAGTGTTCCCTTAAAGTCCCTCCTGCTCTATAATGTACACCAAAACCATATTTTTGTGTTTACAGCTCTGTTGTCGGGCGCTCTTTCGAGCTTTTCAATTCTCGGGTGCAGCTCTGGCCGGGTGTGGGCTTGAATCCAGAGCTTCAGGGTGTAGGGTGTCGGATAGCGTCAAGACGTTCAAAACAGGGTTTAGAGTTTCGAAGCTTGGGGCTTAGGGCTGAGGGTTGGGGGTCTTTAGGGCTCAAGAGTTTCGGATTCAAGGTCGGGGGTGCCAAGACTGCGACAGTGCCCTTGCAAGCTGCCAAGTGATTAGAGTGTCTGAGAGATAGCGGTTTAGGGTTTAGGGTTGCATGCAATTCCGGGTCTTGCTTTTTTTCGGGTTCTGGGTGGTGACATTAGTCCATGCATCGTTCGGCAGGGCCCAGGCTTGTCAAAAGCCAGTATGCTGAATGAAATGTAGCAGCCTCCATTCATCGTATTGTCGTTTGGGTACGGGCTTCCCCAAAACGCAATGCATGGGCCCTTCGTTCATCCACAGTATTAGTTTTGCTAGACGATCACAGATATAGGCTGTTCAGGCCGTTGAAAGGTATGGCGCTGGGTCTTGATTTGTGGCATTTGGGATCTGTTGTGGTCGATCACTGCCTGTTATCGGGGGTTTTGGGTTTAACGGTTCAGAGTTTAGGGGGTCAGGACGCCAGGCGGCAAGCTTAAAGGCTCTCGGAAAAAAAGGCTCCAGATGGGGGTGTCTTAGAATGCCCTCCGGACTCTACCTGGAGCTCCTGGCATGGTAAGGCTTTGTTTTCGGTCTACAGGGTCTCCTTTCCGTCAAACTATTGTTTTTTCTCAAGAAGGTGTTGTTTCAAAGCTCTAAACAACACCCCAGGAGGCAACATTGCTGGAACCTAAGTTGGACTCTGCAGCCCTGAATCCTAAGCCCTGTGCTTGATGGTGGTGGCTTCGAAGTGCCGACTTCAATCGAAGAGATCGCCAGCAGACGACCCGAAAACGCACATCCTTATGCAACCAAAAGCTTCAGACATGAAACCGGCTTGTCTTTGCCTTCGTTGTAATTGTATTTCTACTTCTTCAACAAACACCATAATAGTCCTCTGGAGTTTCTAACCTTAGAGTGTTTCGTGCCGAGGAGCTTCTCGACACGGCAATGATCGATTGCAGCCATGCTCGAATTGGCAGATAGCTACTAAGTCAAGGTCATGGCTCAAGCCAGAAACCTAAAACTTTTAATTAACGCAAAAGCTTAAATCTGAATCTCAAAACTGGATGTGTTTGCCTTGTCAATTTCAGCCACCTCCTCTTCAAAACATGCAGTTGAGGCTTGCAGGTGGTGGCATGTTGATTCTAGATTCGTTTCCGCCCCCGTCTGACCCCCAGAAACTGTGGACTAGCATGGTACAATGCAATATAACATGATATCATATCGTATATTTTAGAAGAATATCGTATGATGTAGTCACATCCTGCATAATATGGTTGTAATCTCGCCGCATAAGCTGGTAGAATACTGAATAACGTAGTAGAACTGGCTATGTGATGCAATTTGGAGTCGTACCTGATGCGTGTGCCACGCGTGCTGTTCAAATTATCCTTTTAGTGATACCAAGTCCTTTCATGTCATATACATTCAATCGTCATCTGTGCTCGCATTCACAGACATTGCCCCTGGGTCCGACAGAAACTTGAAGCACACCCAAGACAGCGATCAGGTGGCCAGCGGCTGCAGCCGTGGGCAAAAAAGCTGGATTCGGGTCCCCTGAACCCTAAGCCTTCAACCCCCCCTAGCCCCTAAGATTCTGCGCCCGGTGGGAGGGGTCATGCCTCAAAACTTCATCCATCCGGGCTTGAATCTTAGGATCAGCAACCGGCATGTAAAATTATCAAGTGTTGGTACACTCTGAACTTGATTGCAGAAGCAGGAGTGCTTGTTCGTCATGTCTCCCCTTCGACCAATGGCAGGTGGCTAGTTCAATCTAGGGCAACATAATTCCTGCAGGTTGTCATGCCCTTGCTGTTCTTTGCACGAGCTTGTAAGACCCAGTCAGGCGGTGGCTCCTGCCTACAGACCACTCCAGCACGTACTATGGTTTCGGTAGGATCTGCAGCCAAGTCAAGATAACCTTCATGGCCTGTCTAGCTGATACCGGTGGCTGAGTGTGCTTCTGCTCAGACACGCTGTAGATACATTACATCTGTCTAGCTCGTGCTCAAATCGTTGTTGCCGACAAGCTGAACCCACAAACCCAGGCACTGGGCTGAGCGAGCAGGCCCTGAAAAAACGAAACTGAAAAACTAGCCTTTGGCACTTAAGAAGCGCTTTGTAAGACAGGAACCAAAGCAAGCCTCCAAGCCCACCTGAAGATCAACCCGAAACCCCTTAGACCTTCGAGTTGAATCCTAAGGCTCCGTGTGCCCATGTCGTATATACTTAGACTTTCACAAAGTACCTATACTTTGTCATAGTTGGGTAACATTTCACATTTTTAATTGTACTTAAACCCAATAAGGAAAATAAATGTAAATTTTTTATACTACCCCAACCATGAACTAGTATATGGGAACCCCCTTAAAGATTAAGTATATACAACATGGGCCATAGCCACATAGAGCCGCAGAGGAAGGCTTCCAGTTGCTTCGCAGCCGTGAAGGCTCCTGACGGTCCCAATACTCAGGACCGTTCTGTTCCAGAGCCAAGACTGTGATAATGGGTTTTGAAATAACCAAAAAATAAATAAATATAATATTCACAATAATAACAATAATAATAATAGTAGCAGGTTCCTTCGAGGGTTCCTTTCAGGGATCTAACAAAGGGGGACACTGAGGGAACTAGAAGGGTTGTTTGTGTTGGCGGTTTAGAGCCTTATAGGGTCTAGGGTTTAGGGCGTCGGGCTCGGGGGGAATCTATTCGAGGCTTCATGCCAAAAGTCAAGCTCGATTTCCTGACTTTCGCTGCTCTTTATAGCCATGGTTGCCAATTCCCATATATTTCAGGCTATTTTTAGGGTTTCCCTTTCTTAGACTCGCCAGCCATGAGAGCCATTCCGGGCCAGCGCCTGCAACCATTGAGAGCCCTTCAGGAGGCTCGCGAGTTCGCAGAGACGCCCGGCTTTGAGGGGTTTTGGGTTTAGGGTTCAGGAGTTTAGCATCCAGAGGGGTAGGGTTGAGGGTTTAGGGTTCAGGAGTTTAGCAAGTTAGGGTTGAGGGGATTATGGGATTTTGACACCTGAAAGTCCCAACCCTAAAACTTTGAAGCCTCCGGCAGGGCAGCTAAACATAAGGCTGGCGTGGTTACGCTCCGTGTGTCATGACTGTAGCGTCGAAACATCCTTTGCTCGAAAACAAAAGCGTGGGTCATTTCTGTCCTGCCACGACATTTTCTGGCAAGCAGAAGTCGCCAGATTTGGAGCGTGTGATGCGATGCGAGCGACATATGTCTGCAAGGACCCACGGACCGTCAAAAGCAAAGCCCACCCTGGCGCTGCCACTATGATGTTGCATTCTTCTCCGCCGGTAGCCAAGACGAAGACCATAAGCAGAAGATCCCAAACCGCGAGCTTCTCGACTCAGAACGACCCCTAACATCGACCGTACGTGCTCGGACTTCAATGCATACATCCACATATGTGTATACGTATATGTACCCCCTTATGAAGATCCCCCAGCCCCCAGTCGGAAGAACCACGCATCAAACTCAGGTCTACCGATAAGATATATGAAAGGCTTATAGTGCGTAGGGCTCCTTGGGACAGTCTGCTCCCAACTTACTGTGCATCGTTGGGGATGCCCAAGGCAAACTCGCTACGACCGCTGCGGTCCCGCACTTGTAGGATGCAGCAGCTGGAAAAAGAACCCCCGAGCCCCCCCCAGCAAACAACCGTCTCCGAAGCCCGACACCCTAAACCCACAACTTCATCCTAAACCCTAAACCCACAACAACCCCAGAGAAGCTTCAGAAAGTCCATTCAGACAGAACCCCTGTAGCCACAGACCCAAGGAAGCCAGAGCTCGTTCTTGCTGGCCGCCTCTCGCCCGACTGCCGCTACCCTAAACCGGGAGGCATCGATAGGGCACAGTGCGATCCGGTGTTCTCATATTTTTTAGGGTTTAGAGTTTAGAGTTTAAGCTTGGTTCCTGGCATATGCGTAGTCCAGGTGTTAAAAGGGTTTTCATGGTATAAGGGTTCCTTCAAGGTTTCTGCAGGGGGTTTGGTTTTTGGGTCTCAGGCTTGCGGGTTTTAGGCATCAGGGTTTTGATGGGTATGGGCGGCTGCGGTTCCTCGTTATGGTTTTTGGTCTGGAGTTTCGACTTTGGCAGCAGCATCAAACGCCACATCCAATATCCAAAGCACCATCGGCCGATTCGGACAATCGAGGCATGTAATGGTTTGGCAGGCCCACGAAATGACTTTTGGCAGAAATCCCTGTTGATTGTGACCCTGCGTCACAACCAGGGGCAATACGATTTGTGAGAATACCAGAAATAGTAACGAAATCATGGTATCTTCAAAAGCGTGACAGACACGATGTCAATGTGATCAATTTGCAGCCTGCAAATGCAGGGACTAGGTCCTTGGGTCTAGGATTCCAAGACACTGTCAAGGAGGAGCCGCGCAAATCTTCTCCCAACAGATACGGGTTCAGGGTTTAGGATCGTGGGGTGATCGCCTAGCTAGAGTTTTCTGGGATTCTTCAGGAACCCGTGACACCTGCAGGCCATGAGTTGAAGTTTCATGGGTGCTTAGGGTTTATACGCTGTCCTACAAGGCTGCTGCATGGCCCTTGCGTATCCCTGAATACGCGAGAGGGAGCGGGCTTACAGTGTCGGGTTTCAGGCCTTGCGGTTCTGAAAATGATGGAGAAGTAGGGCTTAAGGGGCGTTTGGTCGTGGGTTGTGGGGCGCTTCGACTGGACATCAGTCTGGTATCGGGCGACAACAGCATGAGCATTGATCATCGTGTTTGCGCCTGCGACATCCAGCAAAGATCAGGCTCTGCAAAGGTCAGACAGCGCCCTTGGCCAAAATGGCCGAAATCAAAGGGGGTTTAACGGAAGCAAACTGCAAGGAACCCTGAACTTGGTCCTAAACCACACAAGCCTAAACTCTCAAGCCCGAAATGAACATCAGGTGCTGAACAAAGCTTTTACTGTCAAGCAGGTAGTCAACTTCGAGCATCAAGTGCTGCAAGCTTGTCGACGACGGCGAGTCTCTTGGTTCAAATGTTGACCTGTGACGAATAGCACCCATGGGCCTGAGGGCCTTGCTGCTTGATCCCTATGATCCTCTCAAGGAAAGACTATAAAGTACCCTAAACCCGAAGGCTGCGTGCGAGAGTGAGAGTCGAAACCCTAAAGGGGAGGGGTCATTGCATGAAGGGGCATTCGAAGGTAAAAGGCTCTCCAGGACTTCGACTGCCGGCTCCAGGAGTCGAGTCAGGGATGTTGAGGATTCAGGACCTGGGAGCTGGAAGTCAATTTAGGGTTTCGGGTACTCTGTATGCCTTAGTAACTCGAATATCAAAGTTTAGAGTGATATTGAGCGTGGTTCATGCAGCATGGTGAACCTGGTGGTTGTCACATAAATCGTTCCGACGCCTGCGGCCCTGCGAGAGGTGCGTCTCGTTTCTCACAGGTTGTGTTTTTGCTTGCTTCGATGTCGCAACTGCTTGTCCTACATGGGTTTAAGCTCTGTCTAAGGCAAAGGCATCAATGCAAACAGAAGTGTACAAAAACAGGCATCCCCAACCACGTTTCCGTCGTTGTTGTTTCTGATTTCTACATTTGCCGCACTTGGCCGGGTGAGACATGTATCTTCCTTTTCTCGCTTAAGCTCCTTGCAAGCATGCACTCCCAAGCACACACACGCACACCGAGTCGCAAACAGGCCATATGCCAAGCTCGAAAGTAGGGGTGGCAGGTTAGGCGCTGTATTGTGTGTCGTGACATTTGTCAGATTTTGTGCTTCTGTAGAGATCCTAGTATTACTATTGGCAGTTTGATGAGAGCACCGCATTTTCCCAAACGCCCGGAACTTCGACATATGCGCGACGTTTGAGGTCTTGGCAGCGGCACGGGCACCGGGAGGCGGAGCAGTGGTTGGTGTCTTCGGATGAGGGTTTTTTTAGACTTCAGGGTTCAAGGTTTAGGGGCGAGATTCAGGCAGACAGACGCTTGGGGAAACGATTGAGCAAAAGATGCGGGAAATTGGAAGTCGTTCTACAAAAGTTGCACCAGTCATGGGACAGGCCTCTGCTCCGGCAAGCCCTCCAAGCCTGTGATCCGTAACACGAAACTCAGCACCAAAAGTCTGAACTGAAGGTACCCCTGCTGCCTGAAGCTTAAACCCTGAACTCCAGAATCTCAGCTCTACCTCCTTAACTGGCCGAAGCCCTGTATCTTCAACACAACATCCGAATGGCACCATAGGCGCCAGACTGTCCAGCACTACGATTGAATTCCTTGGCGCCCCTTAGTATGATACAGTATAGTGAGCCTCAAAGCCCCAGTCGAAACCCTAAACGCTGAACCCTAGACCCTTTGCCCTAAACCCTAGTACTAAAGCCCGGAGCCGAAAATCTTGGAGAGGTCGCTTTCCTTCAGCCGTTCGGCCTTGCGGCTGCCACCCTTGCCGCAACCCGAGGAGGATGAGTCGAAAATCCGACCCTTCAGATGCCTTTAAGGGCTCCTTTTTAAGGGTACTGTAGGGAGTTGGGCTAAGGGTTCCTTTTGAGGGTGCTGTAGGGTTTGGGGTTCCTCTCAGGGTTCCTCCAAGAGTACTATAGGGCTTAAGGTTCCTCTAAGGGTTCGGGGTTTAGGCTTTAGGATTTTGTGTGCCATGAAGGTTCAGGGGCCTTTTCAAGGATTTGGGCTTTAGGGTTTATCGGTCTGGTGTTTATGAGACTAAAATTGAAAGACTCTCTTTCACGTCTGGGTTGTTTAGCCTCTAAGGCCCTAATTTGGGTTCCATAGGTGAACCGGCCCTTACTATAGTAGCTCGCATCCCAACGCAAATGATCCTACTAAGTACTGCCTCGCTTCCTTAACAACAATGCAGCCCACACCATCGAAACACAGACAATCGTACTAAGTATTGCCTATAATCCTGTTACTACCCATCCAGACAAGAATAACCGTGCTAAGCATTGTCTAACTACAGTCCTTCTGCGACTACACCAAGCAACCCAGAAACAGACGATGTATGGCCTCCAATTACTCCTTTGCATGCCGCACCTTCCAAACACGGACAATCATACTAAGCAATGCCGGAAATCCTTTTACTACATACCACGATGTGGATTACCATCACATTCCAGCATATGGGTTGGCCAGACACCTTCAGTAAGCATCACCATGATTTGCACCCTCACCATCATGTGAACATATAGCACTACCTCAACATATAATGCCATGTGAACTTCGATCCAGGTGATAGAAAACCGTCACCAGAATGTAGCATTAAACTTGAATGACAGCTCGTCGTCTTGCGATTACACAAGAGCCGGTATCATGTTGAAGCATATCCCTCCTTATGCAACGCCAACACCGTCAATCTGGCCCAGTGGCAAGGACATTTAAATCCACGTGGCAACATCAACCGAATCATAATCTCATCTAGGTGCCGAGCGAATAGATGATATCCTGTCTATACCGATCACAAGCAATGCTTGTTTAACACCATGTATCCTCCACTTAGTGACGCCCATTTATGATTCTTTGAAGACTCGTTCGAGCCTGGTATCCAAGCATCCTAGGGTCCTAGTGTGCATGCACACCAACATGTCCTAAAGGAGCCCTTGAAGGAACCCTAAACAGCACCCCTGAAGAGGCCCAGAACCCTAACCCCTCAAAACAAAAACCCCATGTCCGAGAGTGAGCGCCGAAAGCCCTAAAGCAAGCCTCCGGCAGCGGAAGGCATCGAGCGAGAAAGCCCTAAACCCTGAACTCTAAGCCCCGAAACCCGATCCGAGGAAGACGCAGGAAGAAAACCCCCAAGTCGCCGAAAGCGACCTCGAGGATCCCATCGCGAGGCCTTGGGTGCTTCAGGGCCAGTTTGAAGGGTTGTAGGCTTTAGGATCTAGGGGATTTCATTTTTGTTTCGGTCTAGGTTTTGAGCTTCAGGGTGTTTGTTGGCTCTGTAAGTAGTTTCAAGTTCAGGGTAGATCCCCACTCACTCGAGTAGAAGTACGTCACCTGCCCTCCTTTCGCAACGCCAAACAGCTGCCTGGTTTCGGGTTTGGGGTGCTGGGTTCATTGCAAAAGGACAGTCGTCTACATGGAAGGTTCCGGTGTAAGTGTGGAAAGTGTCAAACGCTGAACCATGAACCCTGCACCCTGCGCCCTGAAAAGGTTCATGGTGCTGGAATAGACCTAAACCGTGAAAGCGTCAAATGAAGAGTTTCGGCCTTGAGAGAACGTTGCTGTCTCGCTGCAGGTCATTTTGAGTGGTGCCGTGAGGAGCCCTGGCAGCAGAGATGGACGGCATAATGCCCTGATTGTATGAAGGGTTTTGTGCTATAGACCAGCACTACTCGTCCTGGTTCCAGTTCCAAGCGGTTTGGGGTTAAGGGTTTAGGGCAGGCGAACAGAGCCTAGACCCCTAGGCTGTCTCGTGGCTGCAGGCCGGAGCAAAAAGCACCGGAAAGCAGCTGAAGTGCAAGCCACACAACCCCAATCTCGCAGCCTCAAGAGAGAAATGTTTGCCGAGTGCTCCCAGCCCCTACAACCACAAAAGTCGGATGCCTTCGAGGAGCCCTCGCACAAACCTTTAAAAAGATGGGGGGCTTGGATAATTACCCATATTATTCGTGGGGCTCCTTATTATTAAGACAGCACAAATCCTGAACCCCAAAGATTCCCTTAGACCCTTTTTGCCTAAAGCCGTGAGACCCGGGTATCGTAGCCCGAAACCCCAAGTTCCCCCAAATTTTCCGAAGCGGAGCTAGACGAGTGGAGGAGCTCCTGGGTCGTGGAGCCATGGCTTCAGTCTGGAAGGCAGCTAGGGGTTCAGGGATTGGGGTTTAGGGTTTAGGGTTTAGGGTTCAGGGATTGGGGTTTTGGGTTCAGGAATTGCCTCGATTTGGGGCTGGGGCGGAGTGGATTGCAGGCCTTAGGGTTTAGGTTTTGGGGGTTAGGGTTTAAGGTTTGGTATTTAGATTTCGACATTTAAGGTTTTGGGGATTAAGGTTTAGGGTTCAGAAGTTGGGGCCGAAACCTTACATTCCTCAACCCTAACTCCCAAACTCCAAGCTCCAAAAGCCCTTATTCCCTTGAACCTAAGCCTTAAGTCCTAAGTTGCATGAGCCCGTCTCCTATGTAGATGGCCTACGTCAGAGCCTTCAAGGTTTAGGGTTTAGGGGTTTAGGGCTTCGAAACGATCCCCCACTCTCTAGGCCTCGTGTCGATACCCAAGTTGTCTGAGACCCTCAAACCCCAAAACCCTTAAACAAAACAAGAGCTTGGACGTGTAAAGAACTAACAGTACGTAAGACCGGAGTACAACCCTACAGAATCCTAGTAAAGTCTTAAAGTCACTGTCTCAGAAAAGTAGTCTTTAGCCTTCGTTAATCCCTGAAACCCTTGCAAACTATGAGTCCTAAACCCTATGACTCTAACACTTCTCAACCCTACAGCCCCTGAAATCCGAGACCTGTAGAGCACCATGGCAGCACCATGGCAGGCTAGGTGTCGACACACTGGCAAAGTCATGGCCGTGAAGGAGGCGCGTTTACCAGCGCAGCTTTGGGTTTAGCGATGTTTGGTTTGGTGGGAAGGATGGATGGTCTTGACTTTAGGGTTTCGGGCCTGGGGTCAGGTATACGGGTGGAGGGTTTGTGTAGAGCTTTTTCGTTTGGGTTTGGGGTCGGGGGTTTGGAATAAAGTCAGGCGCTGTATGCAAGACCCTGCTGCCTTGTCTTGAGGCCTCCCCACCTTGGCAGAAATACTGGTCGTGCATACCTGTACATGTTTGTATGTACATCTTTGCAGTGGAATTGCTTTCGTGTATGCATGACCAAGTTGCTGCAGCTCCCGAAGCTTCCCACAAGTCTGCCAGTAGTGCAACTGATGGAACCCTTAGATTCATGCACCCTCACCACTAAACCATGCTAAACCCTTGAACCCTAAAAAAACCCTTACAACCGTAAGCCCCTGAACCCGACAAGTCTAAACCCTGAACCCCTAACCCCAAACCTCTGAAACGTTGACCCTGAGCCCCTAACAAAACATCAAGCCCTAAAATCTCAACCGCTGAACTCTAAGCAAGACACCCTGTAGAGCTTCAGGTGATCTTAGGAATAGCCTTTGCTTTAACGATAATAAAACTCCCAGGATTTATTAAAACGCTTTACTCTTCTTCGAGTTCTTAGGGCACCAACCCTAAACTTTGAACCTTGTAGACCCTGATCCCACTACAATAGATCCTGCAACCCTAAGCCCCAAAGGGACAGTTTTCTAAATTAGGGTCCCTTTTAGTTCCCCCTTTTGTGTGCGGACAAGCCTTGCAGGCCAAGGATAGGGTTCATTGGCCCCAGCTTGAACCGGGACCCTGTGGTTTCAACCGGGTCCGTGGTTGGAGTTAGGGTTAACATTCTTGTTTTCTTCGCTTTTTAGCCTCCAGAAAATTTCGCCTGGGATTCTTTTAGTTTGGAAAGACGTCAGGTTCAGTTTATGTTTTCTTTGTTTTTCTTCGTTTTAAGCCCCAAAAAGCATTTTCTTGTGGCTTTCCCCTTTTGTGTGCGGACAAGCCTTGCAGGCCAAGGATTGGGTTCGTTGGCCCCAAAGTTGGTACACCAAAATTGGAGAACTACCCATAAACAAGTACCCATACAGATCCAAAAAATCAACCTTAAACCCTTAAGCCCTAAACCCTTTAAGCCCTGAATCCTAAACCCTTAAACCCTTAAACCCTGAACACCAGACCCCTGAGGTGAACCTCGAGATCGGAGAAGACGGGAAGATCGGGGTCCCGGAGATCCTGGAGCGGGAGGCTCCCAATTGGAGCCTCAGGGGAGCGCCAGAAGGGCTGAGTTTATAAATAGGGGTTCAAGGGATCTATAAGGGCTCCTTTAAAGGGATCTATGAGGGCGCCTTTAGATCTATAAGGGCTCTTTTAAAGGGATCAAAAGGGGCTTCCTTTAACGGGATCTATAAGGGCTCTTTTGAAGGGATCTATAAGGGTTCTTCGAACGGGAACCTATAAGGGTTCCTTGTAAGGGGATCTATAAGGGTTCTACAAAAGGGAATCTATACTGGGTTAGTAGAAGGAGTTAAGGATTGTAGGATGTCAGATTATGGGGTTTAGGCGGTCCCGGGGTAACATCGGATTTGGCGCACCGGCAGGTCATTAAACAGGTAGTTATTGTTTTCCCAATGCTACCGTAGGATGAGTAGTTGCACGCCGCTACACCGGAAAGGTGCAGTTATAGCCGCATCTGCGAAACTGCATTGAACCCTTCACACGATAGCCTTCATTGATGCAGTCGCACACAAAAAGTCCTGAATTCCAAGAACGTGGCGAGTATGAGAGAGGGCCGAAACCGTCCCTACTTCTATGGAGGTGTCGCTCCACGCTCGTCTCAGCCACTCGAAGCTTCGCAGCAATGCAGATTCAGGATCCACAAAATTGCTTTCGCAATTTGGTGTAGTTTGGGTTCGGAAAAGAGGGTTCAGGGCAAGAAGATGGACTCCATCTTGATGCTGGCACTGGTATTTTCCATCGCTTCGTACTCGTCTGCTTGCGCATCAGCTGAGGAACATCGTGGCATTCCTTGGCACAGAGTTGCTTGCGGACAAGATGCTCCTCGACAGCTGCGGCGTTGTTCACATGTTTCCTGTCGTTCACGAAGCAAAACGCTGAACCGTCATGAATCGTTCTCCGCATTGTTGAACTACGTACAGACCTGGGTTCTTTAATCGCATCACACGACTACATGCAGGCGAAACAGGCGCAGTTGTCCTGCCCTGAAAGGAAGAAGAGCCAGTGGAAGCCATCAGTTTGACTGCTTCCTTTGTAGCAGCATCGACTCGTCCATAACTAGCAGCCACAGCAGAGCCGAACTGGTTGGAATGCCGCCGTTGTTTGTGATGAGTATAAGAAGGTGAACTATAAATTCAAAGTGCGTGTTTCAGACATCGGGCAGACAGACAAGCTGGAAGGCAGTAAGCACCACATAGCAAGACGTGTGCATGGACGTGCAGTGCGCGCTGTTAGACACATGAGCGACCGAAAGGCAAGCAGGCAGATGTGCACATGGCAACAACAGGCACGCCACACTGGCACAGACTTAATGCGGGGCTGAGAGGGAGAGAGAGAGCGAAAGAGAGAGAGAGAGAGACAGAGAGACCGTGTGCGACACATCCATGCACATGCGCAACCTGCATGCTCTCGTGTACGTTTACGATATTTTTGTTTTTGTGTGTATACAAGTAAAAGCCCAATGTGAGTCTACGGTTTGGCGCCTCCTAAGTGCATGCATTCAGGCGTGTGCATTCTCAACAACGGATAGTTAGAGTCGGAAAAGCAGACATAGGAATGTAGGGAAAAAGCTTCACCTGCGTAGGGTTTTGCATTCAGTGTCGCGCAGATGCTGAAATCTTGGCCTTACGATTACATAGCAGGGTTACTGTTTTAGACTTTGTAGCGGGTATTGCGGGAACCTCCCAGGACGCTTTTCACTGGGACCAGGCGGTCAAAAACCTGATCCCTGATGTGAAATCCAAGCCTTGTAGGCCTTGAATCCCAGAGACAGGCACATATTCCTGGAGTACATGACCGGCGGCTCCTTGTACCACCTGCTTCAGACGCGGGGCACCTTGGCAAAGTGAAGCTGCCGTTGTGATCAGCTGAGGAATATTTCAAGATCTTAAATTCTATTGGCGTACCGGAAAGCCGCCGGAAGAGGCCTCGCAAGGTTCAGAACTGATGCGTCAAGACACGCGCAGCCAGCCCCTAAAAACCCTACACCCGAAACCCTACCCAGTCCATCGTCTGAAGAGATTGAGTACGCATCGGCTCTCCTCACGCCTTCTGGCTTCACAGCGCCACGCCAAGACGAAGGAATGCCTTTTGAGATGCTCAAAACCCTGTTGTAAGGCCCTTATTCTCTAACCTTCCTTTTCAACAGCTTTACCCGAACACGAAAATCCATTCCGTATTCCAAAACCTTTACTAAAAGTCACTGTTGTAGAGCCCTCACCTAAACTCCCGAAGCCAAACTCCGGCCCCGGAATTCCTAATCCCCAAAGCTATATCGTACCTCAATTATAGATCGCACAAATTAGCCCTCAAGGCAACTCTTAAAGGACCCTAAACCCTGCAAACCCTAAACCCCCGAAGCCTACAGGACCGCTGCAAGAGCTTGAGATTGCTGGCTACGCCCGGCAGGTGCTGCAGGGACTGCAGCTTCGCTGCAGGGACGATGCTCCCTCGAAAGACGTCGTATTAAGCTAAACCCTACACCTCAAGACCCTATAAATAATAAACCCTTAGGGTTGTAGTCCTCGTGTTATATGAGCTCGGGGTTGAAGAGGCAGGCATGGCTGCAGAGCTCTGCTTCAAAAAAGCCTTCGTGTTACGAGCTGCAGGCTCTTACAGGCTCTGGGTTTTAAGTTTTTTCATGGGCTCCATTACTTCATGCCGATGATTCAAGGGGTCCTCGATGATCGTCTGAATCCCGAACCAGCTTATGGTTTGGGCTTGTGGCTTTGGTTTCGGTCCAGGTTTCGCCCCAACTGCAGTTACAGCTAGCTTCTCAGATCTTTTGGCAGCTTCACTTGTGTGCTAAGTTTTAACGCGCCAAGACCTGAGGTGTGCAGTTTAGGAGTTTACGGCTAGGGCTTAGAGTAGCCTCGCATTTAAGTGTTCTACGAGGGCTTTAGGTTCTCAAGTTTTTGGCATCCATTAACTGTTCTCTTTGGTTTCCAATGTGTTGCAATATTGCTTTCAGTCGGTGCAGTGCCGCGTCTTGGCGGGCAGTATTGAACCTATGGGCCTATGGGCTCACGTCGGAGCCCTCAACGACGTCACACTACTTATATAATTATATACTCATGTGTTGCAGCATTGCAGCATGACCCCGAACCCCCTACTGGCTGTCTTCCCCTTCATAGTGACACAATGAGTGCATTACTCCACGGGCTTGAGTAGAGTCGTGGACGCTGAGGCACTACCTGCACACGCGAAAGCCCACTGTCCTACACCGTGACCTGAAGACCGCCAACATTCTCTTAGGCGCAGCTCGAGAGTTGGGGTTTCCGAGCGATCAGAGGCGCCTTCGGTCAGTACCAAGGAAAGCAAGGACCTGGCGACTTTGGCCTGGGATTGAGGTAGTCAATCGAGGATCTTTCGTGTAGAAGGTGATGGTTTTGGCTCCGGCCACATCTTATGGCATGTGGCTTCAGGTACTGCTGAATATTGCTGACAACCTGCAGGAACGGAAAGTAGGTAGTCGCTGCAGTTACAGGTCCCGACGGTGTCCTGAAGCTGGCTGACTTTGGCTGTGCAAAGCGGGTGTCTCCTGACTGCAAGACCGACCAAAAGGCCCTCTAATGATGCTGCAGAGGCATGATGTAGTTGGAATCTCTGTGCACAAAGCCTTCGTTTCGGCAGTGGTGCATTAACAGTTTATTGAAGTTTAGATCGAGTTGGCAATGAGCAAAGTCCTGGCACAACTTGGAAGGATGCCCTATAGCCTATAGTCAGCTAACCCGATTCGTGTCTTCCGAAGACCTGCCACGGATGCAGCCGGGCTCATGCGGCGTGTGCACAGTTGAGGTCTGGCACTGCTATGCACACCTTGCGGGGTTCTGTGCAGTGGATGGCTCCTGACACTCGACGTGTTTGTCTCAAGAGTGATCTGCAGTTCAATCGACAATGCCACCAGCCAATGTCCGCCAGCTTGCAACACGCCGTTCAACTTTAGCTTCTGAGCTTTGCGCGAACCCTTCACCGAGGAAGTCCTCAACCAGCAGCCTTATGGAAAGACTGCTGATATTTGGAGCTTCGGATGCGTTCTTGCTTCTTGGTGGGCGGCACGCGCACACACACACACACTCTCTCTCTCTCTCTCTCTCTTCAAAGCATTAGCTTGTGGTTCCGGCAATATCTGTAAGCCTGAGGCGCCTGCCGGGCGCAGGCGTAGGAGGTTGTGGAGGTTAGCCACAGCCGCCAACATGAACAGTGAGTCGTCAGGGAGGCCGGCTTCATCGGCATCTCTGTTCACCATGGCGTTGGTCATGCTCGGAAGCTTCGCATGGGCATCTTCCCGGGTAGCACACAGGAAATTACCGCCCTTGCCACTTCGTAACAGTCGTAGCAGTGACAGGAGCAGTTTCAACAATAACAAGAAACAGGTTGAAAACGAGAACGAACCAAACAATAGCAAGTATCAGTACTAGTACTAGTACTATTACTGCTACTACTGCGACCACTACAACTACTGCTGCTACTGCGACTACTACTACTGGTTACTACTGGAACACGGCAGCACCACCGGTAACAATCGAGTCAGTGCGTGTGACAGCACCACAACAACCTTGATATTGAATTTCGTTGTTTTGCAACGGAGGCATTTGCGACTGGATCTCCTGTTTCAAGGGTCATGTTCTCTTAGCAGGGCGGTGAATGGAAAATTGGCGGTGGCTTTGCCGTCTAGGTGACCCAGATCAGACGAATGCACGTACTGGCAAAACTTCTAGCCCTTTTCTCTAGTCCCGTATGGCAAGCTTTGCATTCCTGCCGAAAGGTTGAGAAAGCAGGAGGGTAAGGATGGCATGACCGTGGTGTTTCGGTACACTTCTGCTGACGATACATAACAGCGACTCTCAGCCCCGAGCTCTTGCCGGAAGCCTTTGAGCGAAGGTTGAAATGATCACGGGCAAGGCACCGTGGGGCCATTTCGAGACCAGCATTGCGGCAATGATTCACGTGGCCACTGCCCAGGCTGGTAGGAGGAATTACGATGGGGTTCGGCATGTCGTTTTGGTGTCCTTTCAAAGTCGCCTATCAGCTTCAGTCATCGATATCAACCCCACCCTCACATAACGGCCATCCGATATCCCTTGACCCTTGACCAAACAGCCAATACACCGTAGTGGAAGGCCCCATGAGCAAGAAGTATCCAAAGGTTTTGCTTAGCGGCGTATACTGATGCTACTGCTGGTCCTAGCGTCCTGAAACTGCTGTTGTACTTGAAATAGGTACTGTTGCTGTTGCTGCCGCTGGTGGTGCTGGTGCTGCTGCGGTGCTGCTGGTGCCGCTGCTGCTGCTGC